ATCAAGCAGCGTTTAAACAGCTCTAAACAAATATGTGGCTGGATTTTGATGAGAGACAACAGGAGATGGACTTTTTCACTGGAGGAAGCATTATTATGAATTATGGACTCATATTTTAGCCAGAAGCGGCTGTTTAAATGTCTTAATAATGGATTTGTTTCTTACAAACATTCAGCTTTCGTCTTCTCCAGATGTTAACTGATGGACTGGAGTGGTGTGGATTATTTGTGGATTATTGTGATGTTTTTATCAGCTGTTTGGACTCTCATTCTGACGGCACCCATTCACTGCAGAGCATCCATTGCTGAGACACTGATGCAATGCTACATTTCTCCAAACCTGATGAACAAGCAAACTCATCCTAATCTTGGATGCCTTAAAGGGATACTCCACCCCAAAATGAAAATTTTGTCAATCACTTACCCCCATGTCGTTCCAAAACCGTAAAAGCTTCGTTCGTCTTCGGAACACAATTTAAGATATTTTGGATGAAAACCGGGAGGCGTGCGACTGTCCCATTGACTGCCAAGTAAATTACACTGGAACGACATGAGGCTAAGTGATTAATGACAACATTTTCATTTTGGGGTGGAGTATCCCTTTAAGGGAGAGGACATTTTCAGCAAATGCTCATTTTTGGGTGAAATGAGATGACTAATATCCTACAAAATTAAAAGGCAGGAAGTGTAATTTATTATAAATAAAATAGTGCAATATTTAAATATTATTAAATAAAAACAACAAAACCACTCTGAATTCACCTAAAGTTTTATTTGTAATTAAAAAGGTAATTATGCTTTGTTTATTTACACCTAGGGGTTGCATTTTATTTATCATTATCACATAACTACGGGGGCCGGTCTCAGGTTTGATCATATGTAAGGAGGGGGACTTCAGAGACGAGAGGTTGGGAAGCACTGCTCTTGGAAGACCAAGACATGAAACACTAAATCAAGACCTGAAGCCAGTGGGTGCATCTCCTGTCTGGAGGGCTCGAGGGCCAGCTTTCATCTGCTGCAGGCCCTGTCCGACATCTCCGGGCCCTTTGCATGGCTCTTAATGAGATCATTCATGTCCCACAATACATCTGCCGGGATGCAGGAAATTGACTGCCAAGTAAATTACACTGGAACGACATGAGGCTAAGTGATTTTCATTTTGGGGTGGAGTATCCCTTTAAGGGAGAGGACATTTTCAGCAAATGCTCATTTTTGGGTGAAATGAGATGACTAATATCCTACAAAATTAAAAGGCAGGAAGTGTAATTTATTATAAATAAAATAGTGCAATATTTAAATATTATTAAATAAAAACAACAAAACCACTCTGAATTCACCTAAAGTTTTATTTGTAATTAAAAAGGTAATTATGCTTTGTTTATTTACACCTAGGGGTTGCATTTTATTTATCATTATCACATAACTACGGGGGCCGGTCTCAGGTTTGATCATATGTAAGGAGGGGGACTTCAGAGACGAGAGGTTGGGAAGCACTGCTCTTGGAAGACCAAGACATGAAACACTGAATCAAGACCTGAAGCCAGTGGGTGCATCTCCTGTCTGGAGGGCTCGAGGGCCAGCTTTCATCTGCCGCAGGCCCTGTCCGACATCTCCGGGCCCTTTGCATGGCTCTTAATGAGATCATTCATGTCCCACAATACATCTGCCGGGATGCAGGAAATTGCTTTCCAGCCGGAGCAGTATCTGCTGATGGGGGCTTGATTGTGGTCAGGTGAAAAAAAGGGCACAAGACGAGTGATGGAGAAACAACACAAATAGCCCGGTTTGATTTAGAGAAATAGGCTCTGATAAAACACCATGTAGTGGTTTCTGATGTTTTCTTTCACTTCCGGTGTCTGAGTGGAATCTGATAAATCAAAGTGTTTTATTCGTTCTAATCAGAGCCGGATCTCCAACTGAGTCATCCACATTTGTTCTTTAACAATTGGCGATACCAGTGTGTCTTTTGTTTTTGTAAAATGCAGCATTCCAGCTAACAAAGATTAGTCAATAGATGCAAATATTTACAGTGTCTCTTTTTTTAAAAACTTTTTTTCTACTGCTTGAATGTTCCTGGAAGGCGAGTTTTAAAGTTTATTTAAACATTTTAAAATCATTTGATGTTTGTGTGCAGTGGTCAGGTTTTAGAAACATTTTATTTCAGAAACTTATTTTATTTCCATTTTACAATAAATTGACTAAAGGCTACCAAGTCTGACACTTCTCTAACCTTTCCTTCAAAAAAACTGAAAATGTCATTAAGTATGTATGAAAAGTCAAAATTTGCCAAACATCTATATAATACAGATTAGATTCATTCTTGCAGGCACTTTAGCTTCTTTCTGGTTGCTGGGCTTTTGCATTAGTGTGCACTCTCACGTCTTAGGTGAATGGGTGCCGTCAGAATGTCCAAACGGCTAATAAAAACCAGAAGCTACGGTTTGAAGTTAGACATGTCTTAAGGATGGATTTGTTTCAGCTTTTGGCTCCACGAGGTGTTAATTGATGGACTGGAGTGCTGTGGATTACTTGTGGATTATTGTGATGTTTTTATCAGCTGTTTGGACTCTCATTCTGACGGCACCCATTCACTGCAGAGCATCCATTGCTGAGACACTGATGCAATGCTACATTTCTCCAAACCTGATGAAGAAACAAACTCATCTACATTTTTGATGGCCTGAGGCTGAGTACATTTTTAGCATATGTTAATTTTTGTGTGAACTATTCCTCTAACAAATTGGATAGCTATCTGATCAGAGAAAATGCATGAAGGAGTCAAGTGTAAACATGCCCACACGTCCTGAGGTGACAGCAGA